GGCTACTGAAAATCCAAGGCCCGAGAGGAAAAGACGCCGAATCGCTCATCCACTAGACTCCCACATCCTTGCCGTACCAAAGCAACACTCTACCTCTCCCAGAGCGAATCTACGTCCCACGTACCCGTCGCACCACCGCAAAAATGGTAAGACCCGGCCGGAACACCTCTTTAATGCCCATCATGATCCTCCTCTAACGCATAACCCCAGGCGCGAAACTCGGAAAAGGCGCAGTCCATGCTCTTCCGCTTCCGCGAAGCGCAAGCAGCGGACCTCGGCCTCTTCAACGCCAATCAGACGCGCCGCCCCCGAACCATAACGGAGGTCGACTCCGTGCCCGTGTGCGAGAAGTGGCGCGGCCAGGTCCTGAAGGAGATCTCGCGCAAGGTGACCAAGATCCAGGACATGGCCCTCAGCGACTACCAGATCCGCGACCTCAACGACGAGATCAACAAGCTCATGCGGGAGAAGCACATGTGGGAGGTGCAGATACGGAACCTGGGCGGGCCCAACTACATGCGGGCCGTGGCCAAGATGTACGACGACCAGGGGAGGGAGATGCCGGGGAGGGGGAAGGGGTACAAGTACTACGGGAGGGCGAGGGAGCTCCCGGGCGTCAAGGAGCTCTTCGAGGCGAAGGCGAAGGCCGCGGAGGAGAAGCCCCTGGACGCGAGGGCCGGCATACGGAGGCAGGTCGACGCGGCGTATTACGGGTGGAGTCCCGATGAGGAGGACGACGAGCTGCTGAAGTACGAGGCCGAGAGGGAGGACGAGGCGTCCCGGAACATGGCGGACAGTGGAAACCCCGACCCGCCGCCGGGGTGGGAGCCACTACCGGGCGACTCGGGGGACGGGAAAGAGTGGGCGTTGCCCACGCCAGAGGAGGTGCAAGAGGAGCTCCTCGACAGGCGGAGAAGAAGGCTCCTGGAGCAATTATAACTCAGGGAGAGCCTCCTTATTCTTTCCCTGGCCCGGCGTGGTCTCCCGTTTTCCACCTGTCATCAAAACTTTCGGCGTTTTTCACACTTGTCCTTTTTATATCTTTTTATATCATAGCGGTATTTCAGTTTTTGAGAATGGCACCCACTTATGTGGTACGACCCAGAATGGCGGCGCTGGTTTCGTACGATTCTAGCAGCCAAAATCATGAAGGTTTCAATATCGACCAGGCGAATCGCGTGCTTCAAGGTTCCGCATCACCGTCGACCGAGGACTCGATCTAACATTCTCAGCCAAGTGAACAACACATTTGACGGAGGGGCTACCTAACAAGATCAAGCTGGCTCGGGGGACTTTGTCTTCATATGAAGCGGTTTCTGTGGTTGAAGAACAATTGCAACAAAGTCACGCAGACTCCCGGATCCTCCGAGGCATTCGCCTAGCCAGAACTCAGGCTCTCACTCCGTCGGGGCTTCCAGCCTCCTTGAGGCACATGACTTCTCCAGAACCTAGGACCGGCTACTAAGTTAATCGCTAAGGCAATAATCTCGTTTGAACTCGTTTGTCCGCCTTTCAGCTTCCCGGGTGCACGGCGATATCCCTCAAGACAGGCTCTATAGGCTTGTATACCCAGGTATTGAAATGCCTCCTTACACCCGGCGCGTCTCGCGGCTGAATTGCCCTTCCCCAACCACTGCGCGCCGCTCCGACGCCGCAACACGCAAGTGCCGGCAGTGTCCCGCCCTCTTGCCCCAGACCTATAAATTGGAATTAACGTAGCCTACCATCTTCCCCGCCCGATAATATACCGCCAGTCTATTCTCCGCACAAGATTCTCCAACGTTCAGCTCCACGAATCGCTTTGGCCAGGGGCCTCGCTGCCGGTTAGTAAGGGTATATAGTATGGCCGGGAAGGGCATTAAGTTTACCTTTGGTAATGGCCTATACATAACTAGGCTATCCTTTTATCCGAACGAGCTCGCAAGCCCTTATGGATGGACTCACGAGGGAGGGGGCAGGGGGGGGGGGGGGGTGGGGGGGGGGTCATGTAAGCATCGTGCTGTGGGGTTTATATATCATGGGTGACGTGCCTCAAGCGTCTCGCTCCTAAGCTACCTTCAAGTTCGCCTGTTCCTAGCTCCAAATAGCAAGACATAAAGGTCTTTTCCTTCTCAATATGACGTTCAGAAAGACCCTGGCGCTTGTGGCTGCCCTGACACCGTCCATCATAGCCCAGAATGGAGCGTTCCCCAACTGCGCGCAAGGCCCAGTAAGCATATCCGCCCCTCGCCGCCGTCGCAGCACACTAAATATACCTGGAAGCTCGCGTCGAACGGCGTCTGCGACACGAGTCTAGACCCCTGGACTCGCGCTATGGCTGTAAGCAATCCCATTTCTTCCAATTCCCCTCCTCCCTGGCCCCTGGTTCACTTACACCGTCCTAACGCCGCGGCAAAGCTCGTCGAGGCCATGACCCTGGAGGAAAAGATCGCAAACTCCGAGGCGGAGTCACCCGGGATCCAGCGCCTAGGACTTCCCAAGTACACGTGGTGGAACGAGGCGCTCCACGGCGTGGCGCGATCGCGGGGCGTGTCTTTCAACCCGTCCGGAGACTTCAGCTACGCGACGTCGTTTCCGCAGCCAATTACGATGGGTGCCGCATTTGATATGGCCCTGGTCGAACAGTTCGCCGGTAAGACGAGTGTGCAGTGTACTAGGTAGATGGTCTGGTTTCTAATGAGACGCACAGAGGTTACGTCCACCGAGGCGAGAGCGTTCAATAATGCCGGTAGGGCGGGACTGACTTACTGGACGCCCAACATCAATCCGTACCGAGATCCCAGGTGGGGCCGCGGCATGGAGGTGCCATCGGAGGATGCCTTCTTCATGAGCACTTATGTCAAGCACCTTATCCCGGCAATGCAGGGAGGTCTCCATGCAGACCCCTACTTCAAGATCGTGGCCACCTGCAAGCACTACGCGGGCTACGATATGGAAAGTACGTGTAGAGCACCCCATTTTCCAAAGGGACTTCCCTCAGCAGCCATCACTAACACCAGGAAAGACTGGCAAGGCAACGCCCGATACGGCTTCGACGCGAAGATCACCATGCAGGACCTCCGCGACTACCACCTCCTCCCCTTCCAGACCTGTGCGCGCGACGTCAACGCCCAGTCGATAATGTGCGCCTACAACGCTGTCAACGGCGTCCCGACCTGCGCCGACCCATGGCTCATGAACTCCCTCCTGCGCACCCACTGGAACTGGACCGAGGAGCAGCAGTTCGTCACGAGTGACTGCGACTCCCTCAACAACGTGTTCCAGGACCACCGGTACAAGGGTATGTCCGCGGCGCAGGTGGCGGCCGAGACTCTCAACGCTGGGTGTGACCTCGACTGCGGGGACTTCTGGCCACGGAACCTTGGGCAGGCGTTCAGGCAGAACCTCTTCGACATTAAGAGGCTGGACGAGTCTATCGCCAGGAGGTTCGCGGCCATGGTTCGGCTAGGGTACTTTGACCCGAGGGCGGACGTGCCGTATCGGCAGATCGGGTGGTCGGAGGTAGCGACACCTGATGCGCGGGCGCTGGCGCTCCGGGCCGCGACGGAGGGACTGGTCCTCCTGAAGAACACGGGGGCCCTCCCGATTGAGCGTCCCGGCGGCGCTGTGCGGACGGTGGCGGTCGTGGGTCCATTAGCGGGCGCCACGACTCAGATGCAGGGGAACTACTTTGGCATTGCGCAGGGGATCGTATCCCCACAGAACGGGTTCAAGGAGGCGGGGTACACAGTCGTCAATTCCGCGGGGCAGGCTGATGTGATCGTGTTCGTCGGCGGTATCGACGTGGCCACCGAGGCGGAGGACAAGGACCGAAACGACATCACCTGGCCCAGTCAGCAGCTGAACCAGATCAGCCAGCTCGCACAACAGTCTGGGGACAAGCCATTCATCGTCGTGCAGCTGGGCACGATGCTCGACTCGTCGGAAATCCTGAGAAACGATGGTGTGGACGGGCTGATATGGGGCGGATACCCGGGCCAGGACGGCGGAAAGGCCATCGCGGACATTGTCTCGGGCGTGAGCGCACCGGCTGGCAGGCTGCCAGTGACGCAGTATCCCGGGAGTTATACCCGCGACGTTCGGATGACAGATATGAACCTCTTGCCCGGAACTGGTAATCCAGGGTGAGTTCCCAGCACTCAATCCCGATCCCAAACGCGAGTGAGTCTGCGTGGGCTAATCAAGGTTCCCGCCGAAACAGCCGCACATACAAGTGGTACACCGGGACGCCCGTGTTCGAGTTCGGGTACGGCCTCCACTACACCAACTTTACCGTCTCCTTTGACGCCGATCTCATGGCCGACCTCCCGGCCACCTTCAACACCGCCGACCTCGTCGCGCAGGAGGTCGATGGCGTGTTGTATAAGGACCTACTTCCCTTCGCGTCGATCCCCGTGACCGTGACCAACGAGGGCGAGCTGAGTTCTGACTTCGTCGTCCTCGCCTTCCTGAAGGGGGAGTACGGGCCGTTGCCATATCCGAATAAGAGCCTTGTCGCGTTCACGCGCGTGCACGACGTCGCGCCGGGGGAGTCGGCAAAGGCGACGATGGATATCAACATTGGCACGGTGGCAAGGAGCGATGAGGCGGGGGATCTCGTGCTATTCCCTGGGAAGTATAAGATTGTCCTGGATATCGACGACCGGGATGTCTGGGAGTTTAGTATTGAAGGCGAGCAGGAGGTGTTGGACTCCTGGCCGGCGAGATGAGGATTGGCTATTTTCCTTTTTGTTGCTTGTTTGCTTGCGTTGGCTATCGAGGTTGTATGTAGTAGCCTGAGGCTGTTTATCACGCACCTCTGCTCCTACGGGGCAAGGATAAACAGTCAAATACACTATGTATCCTCTCTTAAGAGGTATGCACAATTATCTGAACCTGCTCTGTCATCGCAGGTCACTTTTGTCCTTAAGTGTAGAGTACCCGTCGGTAGCCCACGTTAGCTTCCTCCATGATGTCATCGAGGTGAGCGAGTCAGTCTGACTTGGAATATAAAAAGAAATTGCGACGACCCGGGATTGAACCGAGGACCTCCGGGAGCCCAGGTGCGGACTTCCCGGCGCGCTCCCAGCTGCGCCATCATCACGGTATTGTAATTAGAAGGCAGGCCAGCCTGGTGCTTGTCTACTTTGGTTGGATGTTCGTTGGTCGGTTGAGGTGTGCTTGAAGCGGTCCGCTTCTGTTTTCATACTGACGTACCGCATGAGGTACTATCGTGGAAGAACAGGTAGGCATCATCAGCCCGAGACAATGTGGGGCTCGTGATGCACCTGGTGAGTTTCATCACAACGAAGTTCCAGATGGGCCCCAAATGTCTCGGATCCATAGTACACTGGGTGAGACAGACCCCTAAGGACGACGAGATGGCTCGGCGCGTCTAAAGGTCCGACTCCTTCGTGAGCTCGGGTATTACCGATCCTTCGAAATCCTTAGCGGGCGGGCAAAGACGTCATACTGTTGCGCTGTGCCAGATACCGAGATCGGCTTCTTGTAATAACCCCGGATGGCGATCGTCATATCCCCAGAGATGCTAGTGCGCCGAAGAAAGCACAACTCGGCTTGATGAAGGGCGGTTTGGTTCTGTATAACCGGTCATATTTCCCGTTCGTTAACCCTTTGTAACTGAAACCAAAATTCTGCGGAACCGAAAACCAGAGAGGCGCGTTGGGATGAGAAGAACGGGCCCCGAAAGAAGCAAGGGGGATGCGGTATTGAAGGGGATGCTCGAGCCGATCTTGGGCACGTCATTGAGGGTGGATGGGGGCGGCTGCCTGTGGCTGTAGTTGTATTACGCACTAGCCAGGAGGCACAAGAACATGTATTATACGGTATAAAACTATGAATATTACCTAGCAGACCCCCGAATACAACGGATAAGATAAGCACTATTAACGCACGGAAGTATTGTCCGATGACACCGTTCCTGCAGGTGTCAGTCGGCTGTCAGTGGCAGGGAGTTCATGGTTCCTTCCATATCCCTTCAGAATTTACTGACTGGGAAGGTCCACCCCGACCACGGACCCTCACATTACAAGTATGTACTCTGGAAGACGCGAGGATAGAGAGACTCCGGGAAGCCACCACATGCACAAGTATTACCTGAAACAACATTTCCCAAAAGTCGGAAAAAGGAGACTAATCAAAAGTGCGTGGGGAGTGGATGTTTGCCACGAGCGGGCTGTTGTTCCTTTCCGTTATAGTCTATATTCGAACTGATCGGCACGGGTAAGAGGGGGGCCCGAGCTCGAAGCGGCAAGGGATGGGCGTCGATCGCCCCTGGTGCCTGGATTCTTTCTGCCCGACTTCCCCCTGCAGCGCGTACTAGTAACTCCTATTCGGGTAAGCAGCCCACCCCGCCGTCATCAAAAAAGTTTCCCCTGAGCATGAACCTTCGAGGTCAGTTTCTCGGTTCTCGTATACTTTTCACGCCAATAGACAGTTCTCTACCTTGTCAAGCTTAAACTCTTGGCACAGACTTACGTAGTCGCCCATTGTGGGTAAGGAGAGCGGAGAGAGCGAGAAAAATCTGAGGCCCGGGGGGGGTAAATGAATGTGAACTCGTCCTGCGGCTGGAGCTCCCAGCCCACCTTCTCGTACTCTTCCCGCGTCCGGACTATTACAAGTACATGTAGAATTCGGTGGTGGATACATGTATTATCACGTCTTTGCGCCACTTTTCGTTCTCCTGCTCCGTACTCGTACTTGTACCCGGACCGTCACCTCCTCGGACCCTCACACGAGTCGTCAACTTGCTTTTAGGGGTTGCGAGTAGTCCGCCCTTTTTCCACGCCTCGAAACAACGTCCCTAGGTTCCCCCGCAATACACGAGTACAAGCAGGATTTCTAGAGTTGACAACGACGGAGAATATATCTTCGCCCCACCCACGCGACCCCGGGGACTTTCTACGTCCCCACCTCGCTTGCCGCCGCCAACCTTGAATTGTATATAAATCTCCGCAGACATTTTCTTGTTCCTCCCGCGAGTTACGAGTGCCAGGGCAACTGCTGGCCTGGATGCTTCATATCGACGACTGCTGAAGCCTCTCTAGCCTCTGGCAACGACGCAACTCGCACTAAGCTCAGCCGCCCACGTCGTAGGAGCGAGCGTCGACCGCCCTCCGGGCGATGAATTGCCCGCCAGCCACCGTCCGTTGAATGCTATCAGAACGAAGCTTGGCCCTCCCCCGCAGCTCCCTCTCCTCGGGAAAGAAAGATGGTGTCTTTTTTTGGACTAAAACTCGGCGAGAAGAAGTGAGTCGGCATGAACAAAACCTGCCTGTCATCAAGAGATCTGCCCGCCAGGCGTGCTCCGCGAAGCTAACCCTTCTCCACCCGCTACAGGAAAGATGATCTCGAGGATACGTTATGGCAAAATGACCTGAAGACGGAGGACGCCATCTTCTTTGGTAGTCAGAACCACCCGACGGCAGCCATCGAAGGCATCGAACTCCCTCCTGCACCACGATCCGGCTCCGCAATGTCTAATCGTTCGTTTGCCGGCTCGCCCCGAACTCTTGTCTCGCCGCCGCCGCCGCGAGCTCTTGCTTCACCACACCTGACCAAGACCGCCACGCCAAGTCGGCACGACCTCAACCCCCCGAACCACGCTTCGGAACCCTCTTCGCCTGCGCTGGGCGAGTATCATGATACGCCCTCCTTTCATCTTCCCCGCACATCATCACTCGACTCTTTCCCGCGCCCCACGACGTCCACAGGTCGCACGAGGGCATTGATTCCCCCAAGTCCCCGGCTTGTACGGGATTACTCTACCCCCAGGTCGCCACTCGCGCAATCCCACAAGTTTGGCACGACCCTAATAGGCGAGCCGTCTCCGCTATCAGATTCGCAGCCCCGAAGTCCTACGGCCGTCTCTTCTATGTCGTTTCGCTTTCCTACGGAGACACACCCGCCCTCGACCCAGGGTACTCTCCCTTCGCCTCCAGGCTCCTTCTCGGAATCTAGAAAGCCTTCCAAAGAGGAACTCAATCCCAAAGTAATTACTGCCTGGCAGCCCCCAGCAGGAAACACGGTTCGCCTCGTAAATCCTCCCAGCAACCCGGAAGCCGACCCCCCGCCCGCATCGACCCAGGCTCCCCTCCCCGAGCCGCTCCCGTCGCCCGCCGACTCAGGGACGGGAATCGACGAGAAGGAGATTTTAGACGTTGAACCCCCCTGGAGCCCCCTCCCCGTCGTCCAGAACGTCCAGGCCTACCGCGACCCTCAGACGGTCGTGGCCCCGCGCCAGACGAGCATAACCACCCACATCGTGAGCACCGCGCCGTCCCCCCTCGCCGAGTTCAAGTTCAGTGAGGACGATGCCGAGGTCCTCACCATGGCCCACAGGACTAGCTCGCCGACTGCGTTTTCGGCGATGAACCGTGAGCAGAAGCCCCTGCCGCTGAAGCTGGCGAAGCCGACGCCGCGGAACGTAGAAGACAGGGCGGTATCTTCGCCGCTAGGGTCCCCGCCGGCTAGTAGGGCAGCGGCAGGGTTGGGGATCTGCGGAGAGTGGCCGTTGGGTGGGGGTATCATACCCGGAGTGACGCCGGAGCCACCGCCTTCGCCGCATCCTCGTCTTCCTCTGGATCCACCACCCGTCCGCGGGAGACTGGGCTCGCTGGCGGAGTCAGGCGATCCAATTCCCGCTCCAAATCCGACGTCTGAGAGCAAGGGCTTCGTGCACGAGGAGCAAGGTCCTATGCAGGAGCATAGGGATCCGCCGGTGCAACAGGACTCCCGGGGCCCGAGAGGCTCCCCTCCGAACGATATGAGGCCACCGGAGGCCAGTAGGCAGGGGAATATGGGACCTGTCGCACCAAATTATGCTCGGCCAGGCCTGCCCAATATGCGAGCGGGACCACCCACCGGACCACAGCCTGGCCCATTCAAGACGAAGCCCTACCCAGCTTCGGGGCCGCCTTCCGGACCACCTCCAGGGCCCCAGCCAGCCCCTCCTAACATGAGGTCCAGACCACCTCACGGACCCCATTCAGGTCCATCTAATATGTGGAACGGACCGGCTTCTGGACCGCCTCCCGGGCCCTTGCCGGGTCCACCTAATATGCGGCCCGGACCCCAGCATGGGGCGGGATATCCTCCTTATAGGAATATGGGTCCGGGACCACGTCGTGGGCCCCCCGGGCACGGTGGCCCTCCCATGGATATGCCCGGTCGAGGAGGCCCTGGCCCTAGCTATGGTCGAGGCGGACCCATGGGTAATGGACCTCACCTGCGAGGACCTGGACCAGGCGGCCCCATGCCTATGCGGCCCCCGCCCGATGGCACGCAGCTACGCAACGCCCCTCCCGGCCCCCCGGGCCCACCTGGACACCAAGGAGCAGTTCCCCAAGGCCCACCTGGATTTCATGGGCTGGGTCTCCAACAAGGACCACCAAGAAACATAATTCCGCGAGGGCCACCCCAAGGTGGTCCCCCACCGCCCATCTCAGCACCCTCACCACGGGCTGTAAGGCCCACGGATAACCCATCGCGGCAACAACAGCACCCAGCCGACCTCTCCCTCAAATCCAACGACCTGGATCACACCTTCAACTTCCCCGCCCCAAGTACCCCCGCGCTGCCAGTTTCCCCCGATCCAGCGGCGCCCCCGCCAAAATGGACCTCCCCGCGCCCCGCCCCAACCCCCGGCGCGCCTGCGAACAAGTCATCCCCGCTCGATAACCCCAACTGGCCCCTTGCGGCACCCCTTCCGCCACCCCCGCCTCCAGTCATGAACAAGTCCCTGCCGCCCCCACCGCCTCCGCCGGGGATGCAGATCCCCGCAGCGAGCCACTCGCATGGGTGGAAAGAGGGCGGCGATGAGTGGAGCCTGGAACCGCCGCCGCGGAATCCGATGAGGCCGGCCTCGCCCATGACCCGAACGGCGTCACCCGTCGGCTTGGGTGTTTTGGACAGGGATGTGGCTCAGCCGAGAGCTTGGGAAGGTTACGGGGCGGCGCCGATCCCGGCGGATAAGATTGGCGTGGCGTTTATATGACGGGCGCGATATATCCTTTTTTTTCCTCTTTTTTGTTTGCTTGTGCAATGGCACTGGGAGAGGCCTCTGAAGCTGCACCTCAAATGGCT